AATAATTCTGTTCCTCAGGAACAGTAGAAAAAATAGTTTTACGGCACTTTAATGACTAATCCATTTTATTATCAAATAAGTTTTTATGGATCACGTCAACTGCTTCAGATGAGTTGTCTAAAGAAAGCATAACATGAAAAAGGATTTTGTTGTTGTTTTTAAAACAGCAGTCTGATGCAAGATACGTACATGATCATTTTTGCATTGAAGAAAAATCTGAACTATGGTGCCCTGGAATTGAATTATTCTTCCCCACCCCCATGGCCTCACATCTGTCACATACATTACTATGTAGGGTACAACAGACCCCTAATTACCAGGCTTTAATGGAAACTTTAAATCACACTTATTTTAAGAGGTTTTCTCCTAAATTGGATAAGTAGGCTGCTAATGGGAAACAATTTTAACTGCAACTTCAACAAAGATGTTAGTGTTTATGCTTTAGTTCATTCTTATCTATTATTTATGTTTTTAATTTTATATTACTGACATTTTATGAACTACTTAAAGCTACCTTGAAAGGCAGTTGATATATTTTTAAAATAAATAATAAACAATTTCTCTCTAGGCTAAACTTGCTTAGACTATTCTGCATAAATTTAACTCTCCATGTTTACCTTGATTCAAGCACATGCCACTAAAATAATTTGGACTTATTTCCAAATGAATGTGATAAGGCTGTGATGCACAACCCTACACATGCTACATTTAAGTTCCATTAAATACATAAGTTCCATTAAATTAAACACAATCTGTCGGTAAAACACAAACATAAATTGGGGCTACAAGAAACTATAACATTAAAAAAACTGATAAAGTTTATTCTGAGGTACAGAACAGTAGTGCTGTTTGGGTACAGCTAGTGAAATAGCTAGGAATGGTCAAATTCCAATATATTGTTAAATATGTCTATATATTACACAAATATATATATATACACACACACACACACACACACACACAGGCCCACATGAGTAGAAAGTTTATTACAGTCAAGAGACCCAACATGAATTTAGATCACAATATAACAAACCACAAATATTTACCAGTGTATCATGATACACACACACTGTGTGTGTGTGTGTGTGTATCATGATACACTGGTAAATATT